ACTGTCGAAAGTGTTTGAAAAAATATTATTAAAAAGAATCTTAAACATTATCGCTGAATCCAAAGTCTTACCTGACTCTCAGTTTGGTTTTCGTACCAAACACTCCACGATACATCAAATTCACCGTATAGTAGATAAAATATCATTTTCTCTAGAAGAAAAACAATATTGCACTGGGGCCTTCCTTGACGTTTCTCAAGCCTTTGACCGAGTCTGGCACGCAGGCCTTTTATTTAAGCTGAAACTCATCCTACCGTCTACTTATTATCTTATACTCAAGTCCTACCTAGAAGATCGTTTCTTCTCGGTACGTTATGGTTCATCTAACTCCTCACCAAAACCCATAAATGCAGGAGTCCCCCAGGGCGCAGTCACTGCTCCTCTGTTATTTAATATATTCGTATCTGATCAACCCACGCTGCCCACTAGCCTCATCGCTGACTTTGCCGATGACAAAGCTATTTTAACCAATAGCCATGATCCATCCATTGCTTCCTCGCATATCCAAGAACACCTATCCCTCCTCGAAAAATGGTATAAGGAGTGGGGTGTGAAAATAAACGAATCTAAATCTATACAATGTACCTTCACTCTTAGGAAGGGAATATGCCCATCTATTACCTTAAATGAGCAAATCTTGCCAACCGCGCAGAGCACTCGCTATCTAGGCATAATCATTGATCAACGCCTCACATGGTCTCCTCATCTTCGCAGCAAACTGCTATCCTTAAACAATCGATTTCGTCTTCTCCGCTCTCTCCTAACCTCCAAACACATAAAACTACCAACCAAGCTTCTAATATATAAACTTTATCTTAAACCAATGTGGACGTACGGAATTCAATTATGGGGCTCTGCAAAAATTTCAAACACTAACCGTATCCAACGCTTCCAATCCAAAACGCTCCGAGCCATAACTAAAGCACCATTCTACGTGTCCAACCAGACCTTACATAACGATCTTGCCATCTCACCCGTCTGTGATGTAGCTAGAACTTTTTATAGACGATTTAACTTATCTGTTAAAAACCATGATAATCCCCTAATTAAAGGACTTGCGTCGGCAAACATACCTGATAATCCTAGGAAAAGACTAAAAAGGCGGTGGTGTCGGGACCTATTAATTTAGTTAATTACCTAATCTTTTTCTATTTATAAATAATTGTTAACTTATTTAAATGTATATAAACAGCTGACAAAGTGTCTTCACTGGAAGGCTTCTTAAATCCGTAATTTCCTCAAGCCACTTCATTCAATTATCTATTTTACTTATTGTTCATATTTTATTGTAACAGATTGTAAATAAAAATTATAAAAATAAAAAAAAAAAAAAAAAAACAATATTCATCTCGTGTCCAGTCCTGTATATCTTAGTCCGTGCTATATACTGTGTTATCAATATTATAAAAATTATGTGTTGATTAAATATACATTCAAATATTATACAATTAATTATAATTATATTTTCATTGAGAAAAATGTATACAAATGAGCATATTAAGTAAATGATTGATAGAATATAAGTTCGATCACTATGTATATAAAAATATTAGTTTAATTTGCTATTACATACATTTTAGTTTGAGAAATTTCCTGTACTTATACTATATTGGTTTCAAAAATCAAAATAACTCAACAATATAATTAGACAAGTTTGACAAGTTAATGTGTCAATCTGTCAAGATTTATAGTTGGAAAAGGGGGAACATGAAGATCATAAAAAATACACTATTGATCATTGTGCTAACTGTGACTTTACTAGTTTACTGTACCTATTGTGTTCTTGTCTTGCAAATTGTTTTTTTTTTTTTTGAAGTTCTGGATTTAATAGTGTAAAATATGGAAATTATTGAAATTAATAAATCAAATAAGGTGCAGATAAGATTTGTCACAAAGGTCATAATATGTATACTTTAAAATATGCCGGAATACAATATTATACATGGAGATGTACAAAAAAAAGTTCACTTAATTGTCCGGCTATTCTGAGAACTACAACAGTTGTAGTTACTAAGATAACTTCTTAGTTACTAAGATAACTCAACCTTTTGTTTCAAAAAATTTTGATTATATTATCACTTTGGTTTTTTTTTCCGTTGGTTCTTTTTTCTTTTGGTTTTTTTCATCGCTGGTTTTTTTTTCCGTATACCAATATTAATAAATGCATGCATTTAAGTGTTGTTTGGGCATTTATTTCTCTGATTCAGCTCTAAGTTTTTTTTTCAGGAGTCAGAGATAGAACAGGATTTACAAAATAATATCAGTAATGTCGCCTCAACATCTTCAATTTCAAAAAAAAGTAGTCAACCCATTCTTCCTATAATTGAAACAAAAAATCAACAATCAAATTATTTTATTTTTCCAAAACATAAAAAAAGATCATTTTGTGCAAAGTGGTTTGAAATGTTTGCCTGGCTTCATTATGATGAATCTAAAGATCGTGCATTTTGTTTTGATTGTATTTCATTTTATCATAAGACAAATAATAAATTAAATAAACACACAGAGTTATCTTTTATAGTAGATGGTTTTAATAATTGGAAAAAAGCATCTGAAAAATTTCAATCCCATGAAAACAGTAAAATGCACGTCAACTCTATACATTTTCTTTCAAGTATTAATACTAATGTATCAGTCTTTTCTTTATTATCAAAACAAAAAATTGAAGAACAAAAAAATGCATCCACAGCCTTATTAACAATTATTAGTACTTTGCGATACCTTAGTCAGATGGGAATAAGTATTAGAGGTCATTCTAATAATGATGGCAATTTTATTTCCTTATTAGAAGAAAGATGTGTAGATGTTCCATGCTTAAGATATTGGATACAACAGAAAAATAATTGGCTTAGTTCAGATATTCAGTATGAAATATTAGAAATAATGTCATTAAATTTACAGCGTGAACTTGTGCAATCAATAAAAAAATCAGAATACTTCTCTATAATTGCTGATTCAACTACTGATATTTCTTCTACAGTTCTACAGAACAGTTTTCATTATGCATTTGCTATGTTGATTCAAATTTTGAAGTACATGAAGTATTTACTGGTTTATATAATACACCTGATAGTAAAGCATTAACATTTTTTGACACAATAAAAGACATATTAATACAATTTACTTTATCTACATCAAATTTAAGAGGCCACTGTTTTGATGGAGCTGCCAATATGTCTGGGAAATTGAATGGGATGAAAAAATTAATTGAAAATGTTCAACCAAAAAGTAGTTTTGTACACTGTATTAATCATTCACTGGATTTAGCATTACAAGAAGTTGCAAGAAAAAATAGTGCTATGTGTGATACCTTTACTATGGTCAGAGATGTATCAAATGCTATTCTTGAATCTGCTCAGAGAAAAAGTATCTATGAAAATATAGTATTAGAGCCATGCCATGTTACAATTCCTCTGAATTGGATAGTGAAAAACAAAATGTACTTCCATTTTGTCCTACTAGATGGTCTGTAAGGGTTAAAAGTTTAACAAGATTTTTAGATAACTATAGCAGAGTTCAAAAAACATTAGATGAAATGCTTCCAGTGAGTGTTTGTATTGCAGATGATAGAAAATTCACACTTAGAGGATATGTGAAAAAATTAAAAACAATTTTTTTTTGACTATTGCAATACATATTTTTGGTCCTGTAGAACAATTAAAAAAAGCAAATTTTACAAAATCCTAAATTGTGTGCATCAGATTCAATTAAAGCTGCAGATACATTAAAGAAAACATTACTATCATTCAGAAGTACCGTCAATCGAGGTGACTTGGAACTTTGAGGTGAAATGAAACACCCCGGTTTTTTTTTAAACATATCAGGTTATCTATGAAACAAAATGATATAATTTAAATCTGCCTGCATTTAAATTAAATTTACATTATTTGTGATAATAAATGTTATTATCAACCATGTGGTTGGTCTTATCATTACCACCGAAAAAAATAACCAAACATTTCTTATGATAACAACGATTTTATCATTGCTCTCAAAAGTGCTTCAAATGTTGGTGATTGAAGTCAAATTTAAAGATTTGTATATTTTTTATACATTAAAGGACACTTCAAAAGCAGACTTTTGTAGTTATAAGTCCTTAAACATTTTTTTCTAATTTTATAACTTAAGTTTTATTTTACAGAAGAAAATTGAGGGTGACTTGGAACACCAAAAATGCCAAACAAATACGAGCGTAAACCGGGTAGCCGGACATATATAAATGACAGTGACGAAACACTTTAACAGGCCCTCGATGATATTTCAAATGTATTTGTGTTTATTTTGAAGAACTATTTAGTTATGTTTTTCTATTTAGAAAGAATTTTTATTTTGTTTTTATCATGTTATTATTTAAATATTTAATTTACTGTTAAAAAAAGGTAAAGTTAACCTGTTTCTTTTTAATATTTATTTAACATGTTCTTGCGGTAATTTTTAAAATAAAAATTTTGTTCCAAGTCACCTCTAACGTTCTTGAATTGAATTTCACATTAAATTTTCATAGCTGTTCCAAGTCACCCAAAAATTGAGGTGACTTGGAACACGTACTTTTTACTTTTTTTTAAGTTCAGTTTTGGTCAAAAAACTAAATGAAAGGTATTTTTTGTAGTCCAGTGCGATTTTTTTTAAGCTCAGAATAACAAGAAATATGTCAAAATCGTTCCAAGTCACCTCGATTGACGGTAATGAATATTTTGAATAGATATTAAATGCTGAAATATATGAATATTAGAACCATTTGATGACACTAAGCGTATCAAAAAAACACCAAAACGACTTCAATATACAAGTAACCCTCCTACAAAATTATCACCAATATGTGAATTGAAGAAAGATATGTTTGAAATAATTGACTATTTGATAAATGAAATTTATAGGCGTTTTAATGAACAAGGTCTAAAAAACTTGGTTAAATTAGAACACATACTTGTAGATCAAAACACAAGAACTTACTAATTGTTTAAATAATATGAGTGAGGATTTTGACATTAATAAACTCCATGCCCAGCTTATTATGTTACCGTCTATACTCTATAGTATCTATCACTAGTATTTCAGATATTATAAATAATTTGAGAAATGAATATTCAAATGTAAAAGATTCTTTGTTTTCTGAAATCACCAAGCTTATTAAATTAATTTTAACAATACCAGCATCTGCAGCGACTGCTGAACGTTCCTTTAGTGCATTGAGAAGACTAAAAACATATCTGAGGTCCACAGACCACAATGACCTAAAAGAGATTAACTCACATGATGATTTTACACGTTCATAAGTCTATGAGCAAAAATTGATTTGAAGTTAATTGCCAAAGAATTTGTTTCCAGAACTTCATAAAGGAAATCAACATTTGGAAATTTTTATTACTTTTATAGGTAATTCTTTTTAAAAAATAACCTTTGTGAAGTTTATTTTATTTTATTTATATTTGTATACATTTATTTATTATTTTTATTTTATATTTATTTATATATTGACATATTGTTACTTTAGAATATAACTTAAGGACTAAGGTATAAATTAAATACATTTTTTATATTTCATTTATTTATATTTCTGTATAATATATTGTTACTTTTGAATACAACTTCAGGTATATAGTAAATATATTTCTTTTAAAACTTATTTATTATATTTATTTAGATACTGTTATTTTAACTTTAGGTATAACGTATATTTATGTATATACCTATATATTAAACTACCTATATTCAGTGGCGGCTCGTGGTGTTCAAAGTAGGTGGTGTGCAATTATTGCAAACGTTTGTTTTAAAAAAAATTAATCTGTTTTAAGTATAAATGTAATAAGTTAAATATTTATTAGCATCAATAATAATAATAATAATAATAATAATAATAATAATAATAATAATAATAATAATTAGTATATTTCATATTTTGTTTATCGCGTGCGACCACCTGACGAGTGTGCAGCTGTACCTGCAACCTAACCTGTAGCTACACACCAAAGTCACTTATAATTGCCGATTCCCCCACTCGACAACCAAACGTATTTTACACGGACAGACGGTGTTCAGACTGAGCTGCACACCAGTTGATGAGTATTTGTTGCATAACTCGATTACATTTTAGGAGTATAATAATAAATATAGTCGTTTGTTTGTTTTTAAAATTTAATTTTTTTACATAATAAATACAGTTTAACAGAATATATTGTATTAAAATTTATTTATTATTAGGTATGTATTTTTATTATACATTTTCACTATTATATCTAATTAATCTATGTGGTGTGCGCACACCTGCACACCTAGGCACGAGCCGCCACTGCCTATATTAACGTTAAAAGAATAAAATATTAAGAAAGGTTTTCTGTTATCAATTACAAATAAATAAATTATAATAGTTGTTAGGTTATTTTTTATGTTTTGCCCCCCCCCTCCTTATGGAAAATAGTTCCTGCGCCACTGAGCTTTGATTAAGCGAATCTAAAATATAAAGTTTATAAATAATAAAGTAAACTATTATGAATAGCTAACGTGAATCGTTAAAATCTTTCGATTATATTTTGATTCCATAAGGCTGTCACAATTATCAATATTTTCTTGACCCTGGGAGGCGAGAGCCCATAATCCTCTAATCTCTGACTACATATAGATAACACTATCTTGGTTGGAGCAACACTGGCCGGTCAAGGTTGGCAAGGCTGTCGTGCGGCACCGATGTTCTTCGTGTGATCGTCTGTTTTGAAGCGTTCATGACACTTGTTTCTTTACGTACTGAAACGAACGACGCCGTTGTGTCGTGTCGTCTTCTTTTTTACATTGCTGACTTTTTTATGGTTTTGTTTAAAAATCCTTTTACTCGCGTTTTGTGTGCTACGCCGAGTCGCGAATGATTCAGGTGTGCTGTACGCCGTTGCACGTACGCTTTGCATTTGCGTCTGTTATTGCGTTTGTGGCGACGACGGTCGTTGTTCAGCTCCGTGCCGCCATTTGCGATTGACGTTCAACTACATAATTATTGTTAAGGCATCCGCCATAACCGTGTCGGCCTAGAGAGCCTTGATATTTATGTCAAGGCTCTCTATGTCGGCCTATATGTGTTTGCACCCACTTGCACTATTCATATATGTGCTTGATTGTGTGTGACGCTGTATGATTACAGTATCTTCCATACCTACGTCAAGAACTGGTAACTGGTTTTTACAATTGTGATTGGGGACCTGACGACGTTCGGACCATCGTCGTGCACGTATTATTGCTTCGACCCGTGATACAGGTTTTCTTTTATCATATTATATCATAACATAAATATTATTATCAGCATCTTCAGCAGCTGCCTATATATTATTATGAAAATGTTATGAATTTATATTAGGGATGGGCAAAAATTTTTGAACATCGATGTTCGATGTATCGATACATCGTTTTTTGAAATATCGGTGTGTTTGATGTATCGGAGTAAAAACATCGAAAAAATTTTTTCCCCTTCAGCCTTTAGGGCTAAAATCTGATGCACACCTAGGATGGCTATAAAAAAAAATGGAAAAAATGGAAAAAAAAAAACATCGGACCATAACCTCGATGTTTTTTTCGATGTATCGAAGACTAAACATCGATGGTAAAACATCGATGTTTTTTGCCCATCCCTAATTTATATTAATTGTTTATAATAGGTACTTTCTGTTTATTATTATTATTATTACCTTTTATGCGCGCAATTTATTAATTACTAATTATTATATATTTTATGTATTGTTTCCTTCATTATTTTTGAAGGCTTGTAGTAATTTATATCGATTTTATATGTATATATTGTATTTTGTCCTGTTATAATATTATATTAAATACAAGTGACATCATTTATTATTCTTACATGGTGTTATAATCAATTATGTAACAATTGACTCTTGATTCAATGATTTGAATGGATTGTTATTAAAATGTTTCAGCATAGATAATAGTTAAAGAAATTAAAATATTTTTTTGTTATAGAGTAATGCACCAACAGCAAGTCAGGAGTGCTTATTCAACATTTTTGGTAGCAGAGCGTGGTTTCTTTTTAACTGTTATCTGTGTTGGAATTTTTATTGGTTGATACTTGGCACCTTGTGATTGTTATAATAAGGGTATTTAATATATTACTTAAGTTATACGTTTACATTAAATGTGTTGTTGGTATATATTTGTAGATACTTTCTAGTGTAAGTCGCTTGTGTTTCTGAAAATATTATTCAATTTATTGGGGTAATTTTATTATATTTATTTTACCTAGTATTTTAGTATCAGTTAATATTTATTTAAGCAAGTATTACTGGTACTTCTGAAATTGAAGATAAAGCCAAGGCTAAGCGCGCTAAAACACTTTCGCAAATAAAGCGTGATAATTCTGTTACTAATATAAAAAGAGTTTTTTAATTGTCAAAACTGGTGCTTGAGTCTTCGAGTGAGCTTCCTAGGTTTCACCGTCTTGCTCAGGATATAGGCAGTTTATGGTCACAGTTCAATGTTGAGAATGACTCTTTGCTCAATGCCTGTATTGATTTGGATGTAGTGCCAGAGTTTGATGTAGATTGTGAGCCTTTTGTTAGGGATATGGTGGCTTCGATTCGATTGGTAGTTGACCAAAACAAGGATAAGACAGTTGTAGTTTCGAATATTGATAAGTTAGTTGTTGCTGGTGCAAGCGCTCATAGGTCTAATGAGTTGCGTAGCGACAATCATTGTCCATTAACGCCTCCGACATCATCTCTTACTTCTCAGGGAAGTGTTCCATTGTCAGCTAATATTCGAAGTATGAGGTTACCTAAAATACCTCTACCTTCTTTTGACAGTACAATTCACAAGTGGCCAGCATTTCGGGATAGTTTTAAATTTATTGCATTAAGAAACAGCAAACTTTGGTATGAAGATCACCTGGTGCTTCTGTCATTGTTTTAAGTTTTTTTTTTACTGTCTGCACATATCTCTCGGCTTGACCATTTGTAGCTGGGTGTGCTGGTGCTGAAAACTTATGTTGGATTCCATTTGTTTCCATAAAATTTTTAAATTCCATTGATGTATACGCTGTACCACTGTCACTCACTACCACTAAAGGCAATCCGAATCTTGAAAATATTTCTCGAAGGTGTTCAATAGTTGTTTTGCTGGACAGGGATGAAACAATTTTAACTTCTAGCCACTTACTGTAAGCGTCAACCAGAATTAAAAAAATAGGATCCCATAAATGGTAAAGCATGGTCAATCTATACCAAGAAATTGAGAACTTGGATTATTCGGATTTTCCACACAGTATTGCCATTGGCATACTCTTCTATTTCTACATTTATAGTAGGCCACCAACAATAACATCTTGCTAGTTCCTTCATTTTTGTTATACCTGTTTGTGCTGTATGAAGTTCTGTAAGAATTTGTTTCCTTAACGACACTGGTGTGACTACTCGTAGTCCCCTAAATAGACAACCATACTCTATTGTTAGTTCTCCATTTAAATTTTTATAGTCATCACATTGGAGTGGACCATTACTTAGTAAGGTGTTATATAAACACTGAGGGTCTTTTTTAGTTTCTTTTCGAATTTGATCACCGTCAACTGGTAATGATTCTAATTGTACTTGTAGTATAGAAACATAGCTGCAGGCATCATCTCTTAGAACATCTTGATTAACAGGAAACCTTGATAAGTAATCAACGTTAACATGGTCTTCAGCCTTACGGTATTTTATCTTATAATTGAATCCCGACAGAAATTGAGCATAGTGTAATAAACGTGTTGCTGTCAGTGGTGGTAAGTTTTTAGTTGGCCTAAATATTGATGATAATGGTTTGTTGTCAGTAATTAAAGTAAATGGTCAGCCATAACAATAATGAAAAAATTTGGTTAGGCCCCAATAAATTGCTGTTGCTTCTTTGATGATATGACTGTAAATTTTCTCTGCATTTGATAAGGTTCTTAATGCAAATGCTATAGGACGCTCTACTCCATTAGGTAAGGTATGTGACAAAACTGCGGATAATCCATGAGGAGATGCGTCTGTTGCTAGTATTAATGGATATTGTGGATTAAACTCCATCAGCACTTGATTACTAGTCATTTCTATTTTTATTTTTAAAAATGCTTCCTCACATTCCTTTGACCAATAGTAGGTATTTTGTTTTTTTTTAAAGTTGGTATAAGGGATGTAATTTTGATGCCAAGTCTGGTATGAACCTATAATAATAATTTATGAGACCCAGAAATTGTTTTACCTCTGTTTGTGTTGTAGGCTTGGGTGCATTCAGAATTGCTTCTATTTTATCACTTGTTTTATGTAAACCATCTGAATCAACTATATGCCCAAGGTATTTAACAGATGTTTCAAAAAATTTGCTTTTTCCTCTATTTACATGCAAGTTATTTTGTTTGAGATGATCTAACACTTCTTTGGTACGTTTATGTAATTCTACCAAATTTGATCCTTTTATTACAATGTCATCAAAAAAACATGCTACCCCATTGAGGCCTTCGAGGATTCTGTCCATTATACTTTGCCAATAGTTTGGTGCTGTTTTAATTCCAAACATCAATCTATTCACTTTGTATGTCCCCATATGAGTACAAATACCTTGTATTTTTGCACTTTCATCATCCATACCTACATGTAGATATGCTTTATAGATATCTAATGTTGTAAAAAATTTACCTCCTGATAGTTTATTAAAAATTTCTTCAATTCTAAATATTGGGTACCTGTTATTTTGTAACTGTGAATTGACTGTTATTTTATAATCAGCGCATATTCTTACATTTCCATCAGGTTTCAATATTGGGACTATAGATGTACCCCATTCTGTATTTTCTATACGTTCTATAATTTTTGCTTCTTCCAGAGACTTAATCTCACCTTCAATTTTCTCAACTAGTGCATATGGAACTATTCTTGGCTTAATATAAATTGGTTTGGACCCCGGTTGTAAGGGAAGTTGTGCTTGTAACTTTGGCAGCTTACCAATTTTGCTTTCAAACAGTTCACTATATAGTTCATATATTTCAGCTGTGTAGTTATTTTTTAGTTGCTCTAGGTTCTCCTTTTCATTGTTTTTTATTAACTGGTTAATATTATGTACATTCATTTTAAGTGCTTGTATCCATTCTCTACTAAAAATGTTGTTTACATTATTAGCTAGTACAAACAATTTTTCAATTGCTGATTTTTGGCCTGAACAATCGACTTCACCTTATCAACTTTTTTTTTTTGACTCCATACCCCAGCCGAGTAGAGTTTGATGACGCATTAAACGTTGTCGTCAACTATAATGATTAATTGTAAGAATAAATGTAACACACAGTTAATTAAATAATACACATTTATTTGTATTTTAATATATGATATAATAGGCTCGAGTATGGCTCGAGAGCTCGAAACCTACACGAGATATGTATGTAAAGACTGGTGTGTTGGCGTCTAATAATGACATGAGATAATAACATAACCTAAACGATAACAATCTTTCTCCACAGAACAATTAATATTTACAAATCCAATCTGTTAGGTTTTTTCCTTGTTCTTGTTGAACGCCTCAACCTTTTTAACATTTTTCACATCTTATGAGTTCTTCATTTAGTACCTTGTAATTTCCAGTAAGTGTTTTTTTAAATAATGCATTGGTGGGTTTCAAGGTGGGTAACACGGACGATTTTGCTATGATTTGCCAACCCAAATAGTTGAAAGTTAACTTCTTACGATTTAACATCATACATATTGAACAATGTGGATAATCCATGCTTCTAAAAATATTATACAGTCGCTCCATCTCAAATGAGAAACGATTGTTAACCATATCACTTATATTATTTTGTATAACATCAATTTCATGTTTCTCTTCCATAATCGGTATAGGTTTAAGAGTTTGTTGAATAAAATTCTGTGTGGATTCGGATTCCAAATCAATTTTTTTTTTAGTCCGAGTCATAAATATTGATTTCATATTAGATGGTTGATTTTTTAAATTCATGCGGGGTTTTGAACTGGAGAGAGACGAATTACTTGGCTTTTCCAAATTCAATAGTGGTAATGGTTTAGTTACAACTACATTTGAATGTGAACTATCATTAACATGGTCACATTTTACTGTTGAATTTTTAATACTCTTATCGAGATATTTATAACTGACTTTATAGCTGAGATAACTCGTCAACAAATTTTTTTGACTCCATACCCCAGCCGAGTAGAGTTTGATGACGCATTAAACGTTGTCGTCAACTATAATGATTAATTGTAAGAATAAATGTAACACACAGTTAATTAAATAATACACATTTATTTGTATTTTAATATATGATATAATAGGCTCGAGTATGGCTCGAGAGCTCGAAACCTACACGAGATATGTATGTAAAGACTGGTGTGTTGGCGTCTAATAATGATATGAGATAATAACATAACCTAAACGATAACAAGCTTTCTCCACAGAACAATTAATATTTACAAATCCAATCTGTTAGGTTTTTTCCTTGTTCTTGTTGAACGCCTCAACCTTTTTAACATTTTTCACATCTTATGAGTTCTTCATTTAGTACCTTGTAATTTCCAGTAAGTGTTTTTTTAAATAATGCATTGGTGGGTTTCAAGGTGGGTAACACGGACGATTTTGCTATGATTTGCCAACCCAAATAGTTGAAAGTTAACTTCTTACGATTTAACATCATACATATTGAACAATGTGGATAATCCATGCTTCTAAAAATATTATACAGTCGCTCCATCTCAAATGAGAAACGATTGTTAACCATATCACTTATATTATTTTGTATAACATCAATTTCATGTTTCTCTTCCATAATCGGTATAGGTTTAAGAGTTTGTTGAATAAAATTCTGTGTGGATTCGGATTCCAAATCAATTTTTTTTTTAGTCCGAGTCATAAATATTGATTTCATATTAGATGGTTGATTTTTTAAATTCATGCGGGGTTTTGAACTGGAGAGAGACGAATTACTTGGCTTTTCCAAATTCAATAGTGGTAATGGTTTAGTTACAACTACATTTGAATGTGAACTATCATTAACATGGTCACATTTTACTGTTGAATTTTTAATACTCTTATCGAGATATTTATAACTGACTTTATAGCTGAGATAACTCGTCAACAAATTTTTTTGACTCCATACCCCAGCCGAGTAGAGTTTGATGACGCATTAAACGTTGTCGTCAACTATAATGATTAATTGTAAGAATAAATGTAACACACAGTTAATTAAATAATACACATTTATTTGTATTTTAATATATGATATAATAGGCTCGAGTATGGCTCGAGAGCTCGAAACCTACACGAGATATGTATGTAAAGACTGGTGTGTTGGCGTCTAATAATGATATGAGATAATAACATAACCTAAACGATAACAATCTTTCTCCACAGAACAATTAATATTTACAAATCCAATCTGTTAGGTTTTTTCCTTGTTCTTGTTGAACGCCTCAACCTTTTTAACATTTTTCACATCTTATGAGTTCTTCATTTAGTACCTTGTAATTTCCAGTAAGTGTTTTTTTAAATAATGCATTGGTGGGTTTCAAGGTGGGTAACACGGACGATTTTGCTATGATTTGCCAACCCAAATAGTTGAAAGTTAACTTCTTACGATTTAACATCATACATATTGAACAATGTGGATAATCCATGCTTCTAAAAATATTATACAGTCGCTCCATCTCAAATGAGAAACGATTGTTAACCATATCACTTATATTATTTTGTATAACATCAATTTCATGTTTCTCTTCCATAATCGGTATAGGTTTAAGAGTTTGTTGAATAAAATTCTGTGTGGATTCGGATTCCAAATCAATTTTTTTTTTAGTCCGAGTCATAAATATTGATTTCATATTAGATGGTTGATTTTTTAAATTCATGCGGGGTTTTGAACTGGAGAGAGACGAATTACTTGGCTTTTCCAAATTCAATAGTGGTAATGGTTTAGTTACAACTACATTTGAATGTGAACTATCATTAACATGGTCACATTTTACTGTTGAATTTTTAATACTCTTATCGAGATATTTATAACTGACTTTATAGCTGAGATAACTCGTCAACAAATTTTTTTGACTCCATACCCCAGCCGAGTAGAGTTTGATGACGCATTAAACGTTGTCGTCAACTATAATGATTAATTGTAAGAATAAATGTAACACACAGTTAATTAAATAATACACATTTATTTGTATTTTAATATATGATATAATAGGCTCGAGTATGGCTCGAGAGCTCGAAACCTACACGAGATATGTATGTAAAGACTGGTGTGTTGGCGTCTAATAATGATATGAGATAATAACATAACCTAAACGATAACAATCTTTCTCCACAGAACAATTAATATTTACAAATCCAATCTGTTAGGTTTTTTCCTTGTTCTTGTTGAACGCCTCAACCTTTTTAACATTTTTCACATCTTATGAGTTCTTCATTTAGTACCTTGTAATTTCCAGTAAGTGTTTTTTTAAATAATGCATTGGTGGGTTTCAAGGTGGGTAACACGGACGATTTTGCTATGATTTGCCAACCCAAATAGTTGAAAGTTAACTTCTTACGATTTAACATCATACATATTGAACAATGTGGATAATCCATGCTTCTAAAAATATTATACAGTCGCTCCATCTCAAATGAGAAACGATTGTTAACCATATCACTTATATTATTTTGTATAACATCAATTTCATGTTTCTCTTCCATAATCGGTATAGGTTTAAGAGTTTGTTGAATAAAATTCTGTGTGGATTCGGATTCCAAATCAATTTTTTTTTTAGTCCGAGTCATAAATATTGATTTCATATTAGATGGTTGATTTTTTAAATTTATGCGGGGTTTTGAACTGGAGAGAGACGAATTACTTGGCTTTTCCAAATTCAATAGTGGTAATGGTTTAGTTACAACTACATTTGAATGTGAACTATCATTAACATGGTCACATTTTACTGTTGAATTTTTAATACTCTTATCGAGATATTTATAACTGACTTTATAGCTGAGATAACTCGTCAACAAATTTTTTTGACTCCATACCCCAGCCGAGTAGAGTTTGATGACGCATTAAACGTTGTCGTCAACTATAATGATTAATTGTAAGAATAAATGTAACACACAGTTAATTAAATAATACACATTTATTTGTATTTTAATATATGATATAATAGGCTCGAGTATGGCTCGAGAGCTCGACACCTACACGAGATATGTATGTAAGGACTGGTGTGTTGGCGTCTAATAATGATATGAGATAATAACATAACCTAAACGATAACAATCTTTCTCCACAGAACAATTAATATTTACAAATCCAATCTGTTAGGTTTTTTCCTTGTTCTTGTTGAACGCCTCAACCTTTTTAACATTTTTCACATCTTATGAGTTCTTCATTTAATACCTTGTAATTTCCAGTAAGTGTTTTTTTAAATAATGCATTGGTGGGTTTCAAGGTGGGCAACACGGACGATTTTGCTATGATTTGCCAACCCAAATAGTTGAAAGTTAACTTCTTACGATTTAACATCATACATATTGAACAATGTGGATAATCCATGCTTCTAAAAATATTATACAGTCGCTCCATCTCAAATGAGAAACGATTGTTAACCATATCACTTATATTATTTTGTATAACATCAATTTCATGTTTCTCTTCCATAATCGGTATAGGTTTAAGAGTTTGTTGAATAAAATTCTGTGTGGATTCGGATTCCAAATCAATTTTTTTTTTAGTCCGAGTCATAAATATTGATTTCATATTAGATGGTTGATTTTTTAAATTCATGCGGGGTTTTGAACTGGAGAGAGACGAATTACTTGGCTTTTCCAAATTCAATAGTGGTAATGGTTTAGTTACAACTACATTTGAATGTGAACTATCATTAACAGGTTCACATTTTACTGTTGAATTTTTAATACTCTTATCGAGATATTTATAACTGACTTTATAGCTGAGATAACTCGTCAACAAATGTTTTTGACTCCATACCCCAGCCGAGTAGAGTTTGATGACGCATTAAACGTTGTCGTCAAGTATAATGATTAATTGTAAGAATAAATGTAACACACAGTTAATTAAATAATACACACTTATT